TAAAAAAAAAAAAATTGATCACATGTCTTTGTTATCTAACTTGTTTTACTATACATAACTCTTCCAACTCCTTCCTTTTTGTTGTAAATGGCACCATTTCATCTTTCCTCATGGCTGAATAGTATTCCATAGTGTGGATATACTCCATCTTCTTGATCCAGTTGTCTGTCAGTGGACACTTGTTTCCGTATCTTAGCTATTGTAAATATTGCTGTAGTAAACATTGTGGGGCATATCTTTTGAGTCAATGGTTTCATGTTTTTTGGATAGACGCCCAGGAGTGGGATTGCAGGGTCACATGGTACTTCCATTTTTAGTTTTAGGTACATCCAGATCACTTTCCATAATTACTGCACCAGTTTACATCCCCACCAACAGTGTAATAGGGTTTTTCTTTCTCCACATGATTTCCAGCACTTGTTGGGGTTTTTTAATATGTACCAATCTCATGGGTATGAGATGATATCTCATTGTGGTTTTGACCTGCATCTCCCTTATAAGTAATGTTGAACATTTTTCCATTATCTGCAGCATTCTGAATAGCCTACTTGGTGAATTGCCTCTTCATATAAATTGTTATTTCTTTACTGATAAACTGAACAATATTGTTTTTGGATACTAACCCCTTGTGTCACCTTATTTTCTCCCATTCAGAAGGATGTATTTTTATAATCTTATGCATTTTTTTGCTGTTTTTTTAATTTGAGGTAATTCCCATATTTGTTTTTGTTTCCCCCATTGTAAAGTTAGATTCTCCAAACATCTTTAATATTGATGACATGAAACATAGAGCTAATGTTTTCTTCTATTATATATGTTACAAATCTTACATCTAAGCCTTTTATCCATTTGGAATTTATTTTTGTGCATGGAGTTAAAGAGATCTAAATTTATTCTTTTACATATGGCTTTCTAGTTTTCCCTGCACCATTTTGTTAAGACTCCTTTCCACATTGCATTGTCGTAACTGTCTTAAGTATTGCTATATTTAAGGATTTATTTTTGTCCTTTCAATTCTGTTCCATTGATTCAGGTATTTCCTTATTCCCTTGCTGTTTTAATTACTAATGCATTGTAGTATAAAATTAGGTAACATGCCAGTTTTTTTCCTCAGTATTGCTTTTGCTATTGGAGGCCTTTTGTGGTTTCATTTTCAACTTTTTTGTTGTTCCTTATCTTTGAAAAATATTGCTGGTTTTTAAATGGGGATTGTCCAATTTTGATCACTTACAGTATTAGTCATTTTATTCCTCACAAGTATGAAATTTCTGTCTTCAGGTCTGTATATAAATGCTTTAGTAATATGCTATAGTGTTTATTGCACTAAGTCCCTTCCTTCATTAAATCCTAGGCATTTATTTTTGAAGCTATTGTGAATGACTTCATTTCTTTTTGCTCATTGTATATAAAAAGCAATGTATTTTGTAACCTGCCATTTTGCTGTATTCATGTTTCTAGTAGCTTTAAAAATTTATTTATTTATGCATACAAGAACTGGGGTACATGCCAGAGGTGTAGGGGGTGAGAGGATTCACCAGAGACAGAGTGGGGAACAGAACAGGCAGATTGACAGAAATACACTGCTGAGGGGAGCAGCGGATGAGACAGGAGAGGTCTGCTGTGCCATGTTGGTAGCTCCCTGGATGGCAGGGGATTGAACTCGTGCTGCAGCGGCTTCGGATAGCTTCATAGGTTGTGTCTTACCCCCTTGTGCCACCAGGGAGGCCCCTCTAATAGCTTTTTTTTTTTTTAAAAATATTTATTTATTTATACAAGCACTGGGTACAGTCAGAAGCGCGGGAAGGTGAAAGAATTCACCAGAGCCAGAGCAGGGAACAGAACAGGCAGATGGACAAGATACACTGCTGAGGGGAGCAGCGGGCGGCGGGAGAGGTCTGCGCGCCATGTGGGACCCTCACCAGTGGCCGGGGATCGAACGGGTGCTGCAGAGGCTGCGAGCAGCGTGGCAGCCCAGCGCTCAACCGCTGAGCCACCAGGGAGGCCCCCCCTCAATGTTTTAATGTGCAGATTATTTAACCAATCCCCTACAGGTGCACTGGTTTAACCTGTTAAGCCATTATTAAATTATATTTAAGTTTATGCAAAAGGCTATGTGCCCATAAGCTCACAATCCTTGCAAAGCAAATTTGAGTTTAACTATCCATCTTTTGACTCATTAAACTTGACATATACAAAAGCAGACCTATTAATTCTTTTCCTACCCTCTCCATCCTCTCTGGTGGCTGATTGCCAGATTGTCAGTACCAAGCCAGTAAAGTTGGTGAATTGTTAGCCCTAGCATTTCTTTCACTACTCTGGCAATAGTCTAACAGGTTTCCTAGTACCCAGCATAACTTTATGTAATCCATTTAACTTTATCTATGTAATCCATGTAACTTCCTTCAGGACCTTTTATTACACCTTTAAAAATGTACCCTCCCCCGCAAACTGTGTATTATACAAAAATTTTTAGCTGAGAAGTTTCTAGAAAGGGACTCAACTGTGAGCTGCCAGTAAATACTCCTGGGTAAGGGACTCTGCATCATCATTCCTAAAGGCAGGGGTTGGTGGAGTAAAATTAAGTTTAGCACCGAATCGCCACCACAATCTTGATCACTTAGCCTGCTCCCTCCACACTCAGCACCTACACCTAAAAGGGACTCTTGACAATTCTTTATCAAGCAATTCACCCCACTTAGAACGTTATAGCCTTGCTTACAATTTACTTGATTCCTACAGTCTGTTTGTTCACAGATAACTTACTCTATTAGACATTTCTCAACCTCTCTAGGCAAAGACTTGTGTCTACCTCCTCTTTAGAGATTCCTTAAAGGGGTAGTTATCATGACTCATTCATCTTCATATTCCTAGTATCTAGCACTGTAACTTGCATTTGATTCTATTTTTAACTAATTACATTCAGATTTTTACCTAGTTTTGTTGTGAACACGTTTCCCATGACAACTTAATTGCATAGACATCACCACATTAACCAGCATCTTTAATTTTGAGCACCTTAATTTTGGTTATCCATGTTTCTACTCGAGCCTTTGTATACTTGACTATATGCGTGTTCTGAAAAGACTTCAATTGCTATATTCTTTCTTCCTAGGAACTATTTTCCAGGCTATCAGTACTGAATTTCATTATTTTTCCTTATTTTGCAGAATGAACTTCAACCAAAGCTATCAGGGGGAATGGGTGAGTGGAAGTACCTGCTTGGAGCACTAAGGTCAAGGACATTCCGAAGGCTTTCCTAACTGCAAGGGTTCATCTCAACTTCCCTCACTACTAAAAGGCTGAAGTCAGATAAAGCAAACATGCAAAACTATAAAACAATTCAATCCCAAAATTTTAGGTAGATGTAAAAGGAAGGAGATTTAACTTTTAGAAAAGGTTTAGGTCAGAGATCCCATGGTGATTAAAAAATTGCCCAGAATTTGAATATGGATTATATAATTTCTGCTTGTACAAATTTGGGCAAAGTGACTGTCCCCAGTGTTTGGGGGCTTGTTTCAGTTACAAGGTTCCACTACTAAACAGGAATAGCTTTTTAACATAATAAAGACGACAAATGGTTGTTTCAATGGATGCAAGTATGTGTGGGGGACATTAACAAAATTCAACACTCATGAGATAGCAAACTGTAAACAGAATATGTAAAAGGCATCTATCTAGGCACTAGAAATGAATTAAGCAAACGTTTATTGAAGCTTAAATTGTGGTACAGAAATACATTTCAACTGATTTGAGTCCAACACTATGAAGAGATATTATGGCACCAAAAATTTCTTTCCTCTTATCATACATACTATGATTAACTTAGATTACTATTCAATCTAAAATTTTCATTCTTCTAGGATTTTGGCCCATTAAAAAAAGTCACATTTCTCAACATGAGATAGAAATCTTAAATTAGAAAAAAAATCAGACCTCAAAGTTAACAAATGTGAAATTTACTGGGACACTGTTCAAGAACAAAATTCGCTTTTAGCATTGGTCCTCAAGACAGTACAAACAGGCACTGCACATTAATTAGAGTCTTTCTCATCCATTGACTGAAAATTTCTTCAAATGAAACTTTCAATCTCCATATGCTTAAAATTAAAATCATTAAATGTTCCAACCTCTTGATTTCAAACCAAGTAGATTTTTTAGGTTTAGAAACACTCAGAAAGGTGTTTCATTTATAAATACGGAAGGAACGGAAAACATCACTGCATCAATACAAGAAAAAGAATTTCGTGAGGACATTACAAAATTTAATCAAGCTTATAGTCTCTTTAGTGGCTTCAATCTCACAGTATTTGCAAATATAGTGAAAATATGCCACCTCTCGAAAGCCTCCTCCATTTCTAGTCACTTCCCATTGACCGTTTTGGAGTTTTTGTTACAGTTCATGCATAGCATTCTAATTCACTGTGCATGTTTGAATGACCTGAATAATTCTCATTCTGGGCAATTATCCACTTAATCCTACAAAATCACGGTGAGTTGAACAGATGAAGTTAGAGAACTTCAATTCACAACATGACAAAGATAATGATTCTGTTCTGAACAGAAGTTTAGGATATGTTATTAATGGAAATTAGTGGAAATGGTTACTAAAGTAAAAGTTACAGTGAATGATCCAAGCCAGATCATTAAATCCAGTTCTGCCAGCATGTCCTACTATCATATCAAATCTACCTTACTTGCTAATCAACACTAGAAGTTCAGTTTTGTCACTATCTTCAAATAGAGCCCATGCAAATAAAAAGGAGGTCAAACACCCTTGACCTTAAAGTCCAATTTCCACCATCCCCCCACTCCCCTGGGATATATTAGTATAAACCCACAGTGAAATAGTGTATTGCTTTATTGGGGGAGGGGGTGTAGAAGTTGGGGAGAGGGACACCATGGTTGGGTAGGGGATGAAATCAAAAAGGAATACAAGTTCAGGAAGCAATAATGTTAAAACAGTAATACACAAAACAGGTAACTGCAATCATTTTCTTAAGAGGACTCAATTAATGGAAGAAAACTTTTAATTGTGGTTGCAAAAAACATCTGTAGAAGTAGAAATTGGTTTCAATAACATTAGTAGAGAATATGTTCTAGAAAGTAGAGGTAACAATGTAAAATCCTGGCAGCAATTTAATAGAATAGTCCCATATGGTTAGGTGAGGCAAACACCTAATGAGGACGAAAGCCTTGTCTGTGGGGAATTTTGGATGATACCTGGAGAAATATTACACTGTGCATAAACCAAATTGAATTGTTTTCACAAGTGTTGTAAAGTTTCATATAGTAAAAGTTTTTTTCTACATGCACTTCAATTTCACAGCAAGAGTGGCATAGGATACCTAAACACAGAAGAGAGCATTCATGCAAGATATCTAACTCCTTGATATAATAATGCATACAATTCAAAATGATTACACTATCATTACATCTAGGGCTTTCTGCAACTACGAGGTGGTGGTTATGGAAAGCATGGCCCCTGGTATCATTATCTAAAAAGCAGCCACCACCTTCTTCTATGTGTGTTCTCTTTTTGCGTTTTTTCTTCATTTTTCTTAATCAACTCTGCTGTTGTTGCTGCTTCTTAGCAAAACTGGTAAAAACAAAATTGTAATCATTGAACATCGCGCTCTGGCAATCAAGACGTTTAAAACCTTCAATCTTCTGGGGCGAAGAAAGCACTGTGCGACATTTAGAACTCTGGAGGAAAAATAATTTTAATTAAGCATTAGTGCTTCCAATCTGAAGTATTTTCAAAGAAAATTATCATGCAATAAACATGACACTACTATGTTACTAAAATTGGCATTTGAATACTTTAGTTGCCCTCTTATGGGCCTCACGGAGTAGGACATCTTATGGTCTCCACCCCAGAAGGCAACATGAACAGGACAGACAAGAAGAACCCATCAACTGGGCTACATATTAAACAAAGAGCAACAGAAGTATAAGTACACACATACAGGTTTTCTCATCTACCTCAACTACTTCAACCAGTAGTACCTTAGTACCTTAGGATATCTGACTAGTATGACATGCCCTACTCATTTCCTGTAAATTTTTGTCAGCAGTAGAGCAAATTACCTGATTTACAAACAGGGTGGTCACAAATTTTCCTGGCTTGAAGACTTCCACAACTTTCCTGATCAGGTCATCATAGGAGGTCTGACTTAAGTTTGTTTCAAAGCTAACATAAGAAAATTCTGGTTCTGGAGTGATGTGAATAGTCCAATAAGTTCCCTAAGAGAAATAATTTTATATTAATACAGGAAAGGGCACAATTAAATATTTAAATAATTATTAGGCCAAATGTTACTCACATCCGATTTCATTCCATTCATTGAATACCCACAAGGATTGAACAGTGTGGCATCAATGACAGAACCTGGTATCAGGTCACAAATTCCACTCTCCTGGAAAAATGACAAAAGACTGAATTAAATACACATTTGAAAAATAAACAGACTGCATTAATTATCTTCTCCAGAATTGTTACTGAAGATGCTTACACGAGTGACATCCTTTGCAGTAACACCATCTTTCATGTAGAACTGGTCCATAACTGCTGGGTCAAGCTCACTCATCAGAATTTCCAGGGTTTGATCTGGCTGGCTGATTACCCGACTCTCTGGGAAATCCAAAGTATACAAGTACCTACATAAAAGAAACAGTTTCTAAAAATGACACCCAATGACTTAAAATAAAGCCCACATAGAACAAAAAATATCCACAAAAATATGTCCAACATACCAACAGTCAGAATTCATACGTCCCATACAGTATGCTGCTCCATCTGTTGAGCGGAAGAGAATTGTAAAATAAATGGAACATATACATTTGAAAGAATGGCTTATTTCTATCCAATAGGCAGGATGATACTATTTGCCTATAAGAAATACCAGTGAAGGTAAATTTAACTGGGTAAAATTCACATGCAGGCAGGAATCCTGCTCCCCCACCCCACAACCTTATAAAATTTTACCAGCTCATCATTCAGAGACATACTTCAGCCAATGAGTCAGTCATCACTCTAAGCAGTGCTGAGAAAACTATGGCTCACTTCCCGTTAGATGCCATCAGTAAATAAAATTTGGTCAGCCATTCAACTACTCTCCCAGTACTTATCATTTTATGTATTATTTTCCTTACTGTATTGTTTCAAAGCCTCAAGCAATATCATAAATAACAACTGGTAGATATTTAAAGTATACTCAGCACTCTGATATATACTAGTATAGTTTACTATTAGATATAAGACAGAAATTAGATTTTCTTTTAAAATCACTCCTATGAAAAAACTAAAAAACAAAAAAAATCATTCCTATGAGTGACCTTCTATAAAGTTATTAAATCATCCCAGTGTTTTAGCCTCAGCTAGGAAATAAGGGTGTCAGGTAACATTCAGTTCCGATACTTTGACACTAGGGAAAAAACATGTCCATAAATAAAAATTTAGTAATGGGATGAACAAAAATCTTGCCAAATTTGGTTGAAGTGACACTGTGATCTCACTCTGTTGATCATTCTGTTAGACTAGCTCAATTTCAATACAGACTGACAGACTGGAGCTTCTTAACACAGGTTTATGAAGTCACTGGATAATTTTCTGGATGAAGAAACCATAGCTTTTATAACCATTAAGTTATATTTAATTCCTGGATTTTCTCTTTTCACTTTTCCACCAATCACCTATATACACACATATGCACCAAACTTTCTAATGAGCCAGGTAGATATATTTGCCTTAACTATATATATTATGTGCTACATTTCTATGCACATGCTTTATACATATAGAATCGCCAAAAGGACATAAATTCTAAGAAAATGGGTTTCAATTCTATTTAAACTTACTTGGGAAAATTGCATTAAGAAATTCTATTTCTTCCTGGAAATTCCGGTGTGGGTACCCTTGGTGAGAAGGCTTCATGAAATTCTTACGAGAATAAAAGAAGCTCTAAAAAAAGACAGATAACTTCACACATAGAATTCTATCATTTTCCTAAACCAGTCAACTGTCATATGCATTTATCTACAACTATTTCCCCAACAACATTTAGCACAGTTTTCCTTAATATGGCATATGAACATGGAGTCTTTTGCTGACCAACATACTCAATGAAGGTTACTGTATCAGAGAGCAAGATCTCAGAGCTTGAGACTCATGAGATAGTTTTGCTTTCCCTTATTTTCCCTACCATGCAGAGTAAACATATCATGGAGCTAACTATCAAATATCTCTGGTCTATTTCTTTCTCCCATTTGTTTATCCCAGTTCATTCTGCTTCCCTCCATATTTTCCTGTTGTTAAGCAACATGCAGAACATTCTTTCATGGTATGAGCATCCTTACATGTTACAACTGAAGCAGTAAGTGTGTACATGTGGATGTGCATATTCTAGGCACATCATTGGACCCAAAATTTATGACTGGGAAAAAAAGAGTAAATAATGTTTTTATTACTTACTTGAATTGAGTCAAACCCACTGTAATCCCTAGCAAGTTTCAACAGGGGAACCAGTGCTTTCAGCAAGAGGGTGGTACCACATGTCTTCAAAATGAAACGTCTCTTGGAGACAAACATGCTACTCTCACTGTAAATGAAGTCACAATATTATAATGATGTTTATATATTACTGATACAATCAGTTATTGGGCTGTCATTCACAATGCAAACTTTTGGCTAGTGATTTTAAATGTAAATAATTGCAAGTAAGCAAATAATATTCTGTAGGGTTCTTCCACTTCTATATTATAAAAAGCCAGTTTAAAGTTCTAGAGCCTCACAGAAATAGGCTTTGAATTAGGTATAAAGCATATCAGCTCATTACACAAACCTTTACTACTAAACTTTCTCCTCTTCACCTATCCTAAGACATTATTACTAAATTCATATTATGCTTCCTCTTGTACCACCCACTCTCATATGTATTTCTGTAACCATTTTATTATTTCTTTCATTAGATAATAAGCTCCTTGAGGAAAGGAATATTTGTTTTTATTTACCATCACATCCCTAGGGCTTGGCACATGATAAGCATCTATATAACAAAGCTTAGAAAAAACATAGAATTTATTACCTTGTTCAATCCAATAGCACCCAAGACCCATTATAAATATGTAACAAGCATTCAATGTTCATTTGACCCATGAACAATAGGGGGTTTTAATTATGTGGATAATTAAATTATCCACTTTCTTGTAAACAGACAACATGTTTTAAGAATACAGCATACAACACATGTAAATTATAAAATGAGTTAATCCATCACTTGTTATCAGTAAGGCTTAGGGTCAACAGCAGCTATTAAATTTTGGGGGAGTCAAAAGTTATACAAGGATTTTCAACAATGCAGGGGGTGGCACTCTTGACCCAAAACACGCTGTTCAAAGTGCAAATGTATTTCTTGAATGAACTTTGCACCTATAAAAGGTTAAATGGCTTGCTTATATATATGGCAATCTTACATCATATGTATGGTGAAACTGAATTTGTCTATAAAGTTCTGATATTAAGTCATGCACGAGGTGAGGATAATAAAACAGTACAATGCATTCTACCCTTCCTTATGGATATTTCCAGTTAAAACATGGTAAGTAAAGCTCATTTTGAGGAGTTATTATGTAAGACTTCAAAATCTACTGTACTGACACATCTGAGTAGATATTTTATTTTATCCCATATTTAAAAAAATAAGGTAAAAATAATTATAGAACTAAGATCTCGAGGGACAATTTGCTATTTCATGTAAAGTATGAGTTAGACTGAAGCCAGCTAGCTAAGTAGCAAATGTTTTATAGGACTTACCTGAGTACATAAGCTTCCTGCTTGTCAGTTTTTGTCACACTTATGATCGAACATTGCACATCCTTCAAAAGTATATCCCATTCGGACCTATTATTTAACCAAAAAGAGGATGGTTAATAACAGTACTTACCTACTTAGAAAAATTACAAAGCTCTCACAATGAAGAGATCATCAATAATTAGGATTCTACTTCTCATTACATTCTTGTTCCACTGTAATTTCTCATTACCTTTCTCCAGTGCACACCAACATTTAATTTTGTTTCAAAAGAATCCATCCATATTAATATATCCATTAAGGTATCTATTTTGCTACACACGAAAAAAAAAAAAAAGCAAACTGAAAAACTGGAAATGTATATACCATGTATCTATAGTTTATTAAGAAAATACAACCAAGCAAAAGTAAAGTTGAAAAACCATGCACAGTGTGTATTTAAAAGGTCCACAAAGGAAATCATTACCTCACTAGTTAAGTGATTAAACAAATCAAAATGAGATACTCTTTGCTGATGAAATTCTTAGAATTTCTCCAACTCCCAGATTTTTAAACATACTATATTAAACACAAAGCACCACTCCCCTCACCAATTAGACTAGCAAAGAGATTTAAAGGCCTAACAGATCAAGTACTCACTGTTCAGATACTATTACACTACTTCCTGTTATCAAGTTGGCAGTAATCACCATAGCTAGTAGTGTCCAAAAGTCTTAAAAGCATCCTTAAAAAACAAAAATAATGTTTGGCTGCTAATTCAACAGTACAAGCATACCCATGAGATCTTCGGAAAACTATGCAGATCTCTAATGAAATCAGAAAATGCCCATTTTAACAAGTGGAGCGTATGCAGTGCAGGTAATAGGTAACAAATTGGAAGTGAACAGGCATAACTACACTAGTCTTAATTTACTGATTGAGACCTAAAGAACTATTTCTATTTCCTCTTTGGTGTGCCTACTATAAAAATAAAGAAAGCAAAATATTTTCAAGGGATAGCTTAAAATGACCAGATTAAAGGTTAGAAATGTTTTAAAGCTCTTAGTGTTTGGTAGGTCCATTTTTCTATACCCAAGAAAATGGCATATTATGATTAAAGCCTTCTTTTCCAGTTAAGACCTTGTAGAAGAAACCCTGAACAGCACGGCCTGTTTTATTCTTTCCTATTAAAAATCATGTACAGTTCCAATCAATCCTGCTAGAATTCTGTGCCCATTTTACCATTTTGCTAAAAGAAATTCCTGCTGGCCCCAATGGGGAGTTTTATGACCAATCACAGAAGGCAGTAATTCCTAAGATGGGCAAATAAATTGAATAGCTGAGACCTAGCTGAAAAACTTCAATGAGTTAGGCTTGTTAATGATTTAGTCTATATGCCCACAACTTTACCAAGCAATATGTAAACAGCTAACAATAAATACATATTAGACTAGGCAATGTTGTTAGTTTACTTGAATTAAAAAAAATTACAATTTGTAATAATAAGCTACAATTATGATTCAGTTCTGAGTAAAAGAAATTTGTAGAGCATTTTAATCCTTTTAATTTAGGTACCCAAGCAGTGTTTTCGTTTTCTGAGATTCCAAGCTTATTAATGGCCAAATATTTCAAAACTCACACATTTCAATTCCACAAATAGGCCTTAATACAAAAAGAAATAACTAGACCTAAAGGGAAACATGGGGCTCTTATGGAAGCTATTACTTTTCTGCTCTGTGACACTGCTTGCAATTACCCTGGCTTAGTTTACATGGTGGGAAGAAAAAGCCTAGTTCACATGATTAAACTATGTAACACACACAAAATTTACTTGCTAGACAGTAAGAATTCAAGTAAACAATATGAAGGTAAATAATAAATTATAGCTACTCTGAGTGCTAGTATCAGAGAATAAATTTTGGACCTCAGGGTCGCTAGAGCTAGCTATCAATAATTCAGCTCTTTTAATAATGCTACCTGTTAATGTCATTGCCTACCCACTTCCCACTAGAATTCAGCTTTCATAATTGCTTCTACCCTACTGCACATACTAAAGAATCCTTTCCTATCACTTCTTCTCAATTACTTATATTAATACTTTTAAACATGTTCCACGGTTGAGCTAGATAGTATAACATGAACTTTTCCTGTCTTAGGTAACTGTTTTCTTTGCATTTAAAGGTCTTGTTTTCAATTTACTTCATTTTCTCTACGGACTTATCTGAATTTATCCTTAGATGTTCCCAGCTAGCTCAACTTTCAAGTGATTGTTGGCTAAGAATAGGTCACTAATACTCAGGCTATATCAGTTGAGTTAAGATGGGGCTTATTGACTGTGGGTCTCAATATAGGAGTGTTTCTTTGGAGAATCCTGCATTCACTATTTTTTAGTTCTTTCCTGGGAAAGCAAGATTACCTAAATATTCCATTTTCTTTGCATGGATAGAATTAAGATTTTGGGGAAGCAAAGAATATTAAAAGCTAGCGATCTCACAATATAATTTCAAATGTAGTGACTACTTCAACAGCAGTACATGGTTGGTTCCTCATTTCAGAAAGATCCTGTTTTATTTTCTCCAGAGAATTACTATCTAATCTTTCAGATCTCTTGGCAACCCCCTTTTTCTTATCGGACTCAGACAAATTTCATAAAAGACAATGAATCAGAAGACCAAAAATGAAACCCTGACATATATAGATAACAGAGACTATCTGCATTCTGTAGTTCAGCCACACTGGGCCATTCCATTTATCTATTCTGTCTTCCTAGCAACAGTGCACCATATACTATTCACCCAAATCAAGCAACTTCAGAGTTAAAGAGAACGTTATAATTAAGCTGAAACACGCAAACTGTGACTTTTAGCTCAGATACTGCTGGAATGGACCTCCACCTGGATCTCTTATCTCCCACCCCCTTCTTCCAGCTCATAAGTAACCCACTACCCCTGCCAGATCATATGTCATTAAATGATTATAAAACTCAGAAGGTTTACCAAGCCAGAAGTGTTTATATCAGGGAGATTACAAAGAGGTAAAGAAGTGATCCCACAAAGAAGGCAGTTTGTGTAGCTATTTTGGTACTCATGTCAATTCCAGTCATTCCAATGGCTAGGGACTTTATTGTTTCTATCCCCTTCAAATATTTGTCTAGTTTGGCAACAAATATTCTGATTAGATCCTGCAGACCAGCTAGAAAACCAACAGCCTTAAAAATTTTAAATCTAGGGCCTCCCTGATGGCATAGGAGTTGAGTCTCGGAACTATCACAGCCACAGCTTGGGTTTGATCCCTGACAGGGGAGCTGGCCCACATGTGGCATGGAGAACCTCTCCTTTCTTACCCACTGTTCCCATTAGCAGTATATTTCACTGGATCTGCTGTTCTGCTCCCCATTCTATCTCTGTGGTGGGTCTTCCCAGCCCCTGCACCTCTGGCGTATATCCCAGTTCTCTTAAACAGAAATAAATCTTTAAAAAAAATTTTTTTAATCTCAAGGTATGGTCACATGATCCTTTACTGGTTTTTAAAGTTGTTACCATATAGACCTCCCTGGTGGCCTAAGGGTTAAGTCTCAGCACTACCATCATGAGGCCTACTCTGACAGCCTGAGTTTGATCCCAGGCCAGGGAGCTAATCCACATGGTGCACCCGACCGCTCCTGTTTCACCCACTGCTCCTCTGAGCAGTGTTGTTTCATTAGATCTTCCTGTTCTGCTCCTCACTCTGTCTCTGGTGAATCCTCTCACCCTACCCCTTGTAACTCTAGCCTACACCGCAGTTCTTATATGCAAAAATAAAATCATTCAAAAAAAAAAAAAGTATGTTAAAAAAAAGTTGTCGGGCCTCCCCAGTGGCACAGCGGTTGAGTGGTGGGTTGCAAAGCTGCCCGCAGCCTCTGCAGCCCCGGTTCATTCCCCGGCAGCTCCCCGGCCACCAGAGGAGGGTCCCACATGGCGCGCAGACCTCTCCTGCCGCCCCGCACCCTCCCGCACTTCTGACTGTACCCAGTGCTTGTATAAAATAAATAAATCTTTAAAAATAAATAAATAAAATTGTCACCATAATAGTGGAGGTATCTAGAGAACAAATTCTTGAAAACGTAAGAGCCATTAAACAAAATACCTGTTAACCAACTACAAATGTACATTTCACTTAAACATCATCTTATTTTTAATCTATATAAACAGTTTATTTATATCATAACCAAGTAACTCAGTTATAGGATTGTAATGAACCTAAATGAATCTGCAAGCACGAAATATCAAACTTTTCAGTTTGCCCCATAGGTCTCTCAGGTTCTGTAAGTTTTCTCAATCTTTTTTCCTGCTGTTCAGACTGGGAAACTTATGGTTCTGCAAGTTCACTCAGCTCCCTCCTGTCTTCTCCATTGTACTAAAATCCACCAAACTTTACTACACTTGTAGGCAATCGAACTAGCTGAATCAAGTCTTCAAGTCCTTCTATGTTATGGTTTTGGTTCAGTTATGGAAGCCTTCACTGCTGTGTTCAGCTCTATCCTACTTATATGTGACATCCAGTGACCAGCCTGGAACTGGTAGGTGATCTAACTGGTAATGTTGTTTAGGGTCAGATTCCTACATAAACAGCTGGGGGGCATTTACAAAAATCTTTATATGGGCCTCCCCAGTGGCACAGTGGTTGAGCGCTGGCTTGCGAAGCTGCCCGCAGCCTGTGCAGCGCCGGTTCGATCCCCAGCCACCGGGTGAGGGTCCCACATGGCGCGCAGACCTCTCCTGCTGCCTACTGCTCCCCTCAGCAGTGTACTTCATCTGTCTACCTGCTCTGCTTTCCCCTCTGGCTCTGGTGAATTATCTCACCCTCCCAGGCTTCTGACTGTACCCAGTGCTTATATAAATCAATCAATCAATCAATCAATAAATCTTTAAAAAAAAATCTTTATATTCTTTACCTCTCACCTCGCCATAATCTCCTGACAATTTCTGGATTAGGAGCTGGAGGCCTTCTTGGTTCTGACTAGAACACAAAGGCTTTAGTTTCTTTACTCTGCAGCAGGCTGCCTGTGACTGTGTGTCCCTCTGGGACTAAATGGGGAGATGTCAAAGAGGGAAGAAAGCAATGGGGATTTA